TTATACAGCTGCGAGGAAAGGCAGTCCTTGTGCACAGACACATCCTCTGCGCTCTTCTCTCTGCGCCTTGTTCTGGAGCAGGACAGGAAGCTCGCCATGCTCCCACTTACAGTACATGTCATGCCTCACATTCTTTCCACCCAAGAGTGGGAACAGCTTTGCACGATTTTCTAAGCATTGATAGATAAACATTGCACATATGGTCTTCATATTTCTAATTTTACATAACTGGTACTTTGCAAAAGCTCACACCTCTGCATTTTCTTGCCATTCATCCAGCTGTGAGGATCCAGTAAGAGCTGTTGCTCAGTGAGCAGCCTGGAGAAAGTAAAAATATTCAGATAATCAGCCAAAAGGGAACAAATTAGTTCCTAGCCTCTTCCAGTGGCATCCATCCAGCACCATGTGTGTCAAAGAGATGCCAGAGCAGCTGAATCCTCTTAGTCGCCATAGCTTGCTATGCACAAATGGTAAACAGTGTCTTTCATCGGCTCTGTGCATCCCAGCAAAAACTGACAAATGATATTTTTGTGCTTTGGGGACAAAATGTTCCTGGCATCACTAAAAGTGTCTGAATGGATTTACATTCAGAGACTGTGAGTTCAGTGTTTTGGGTACTGAGGATGATGTCTGGCATCTCAGATTGTGTTTGATTAGAGTGCAGTGACAGGTTTATGACTCATGCACATATAAACCTCTCCAGAGGCTAGAAAATGACCCTCCATTCCTTATTGAATTGTATTTGTCTGCTTTAATTATGTTTTGCTGAGTATAATGAAGTGTCTCAGTCGGTTCAAGCCCTGCTTAGGTGTCTTTGTTGGTATGTGGGAGTGATTTTCTCAGAAAATGAAAATGGCTTTTGTATAAATACAGAGGAGAATGAAAATAATGACTGTGTCTTTAAATGCCTTTGGCCAATGCAGGTGGATCATAGAAGTTAGCTTGGTCACAGTAATGTACAGTAGACAACAAAGATAACACATTTCCCCATCCATCTTGCTGGTTAATTCAAACCAGGGATCCCTGCATGCTCATCAACAAGCCTACATAGCGCTGGTTTTTGTTCACTGGCCTGACCCAGCTCTTATTATTAGATTACTATTTACTAGTTGGAAATAATGCTAAGCATGCAATCTGTTGAGGAATAGGCTCAGTTCCATTTTGTAGTGAATCTGAATTACGCTGTAGAAACAATCAGTCCATGTAAATTGACAGAATCCACACTTTTCATTTTTAATATGGGCAATATGAGTACTGTAATGTAAAGAATAGCCTTTGCAATAAACAGAAGGCTTTGCTTTTGTCCTAACATGTAGCTACCTTTCAGAAATATCAGTGCACAGTATTGATGGAGTATGAATCTGGGTGACATATGTGAAAGTAGGAGTGCTGGCAGATACAGCGCTTGGAGCTCCAGGACCGAGTAGTAAAGAAAGCCACAATAAAGTATTGCCAAGAGAATACTATAAGGTGCTGTGTAGTAAATATCCTTGCTGAGTTCTGTTTGGATGATTACTTTGCAGTTGTACAACCCAGTTTTATTGACTTGTTTGTTTTGCTCTTTTCTCGCTTTCCTTTGCACTGTGGGAATGAATATAAATCCAGTCTCTCCAGCAAGAAGACTCGTTTTATTTTCACCGTGAGACCTGACTTCTCTAGAAATCTTTATTGAAAGTCATACTTGGTACAGCAGACCAAAAGAGAGAAAAAACATCAGTGGGGACAACTTGTAATCTTGTACTTATTGTTGACCATAAAGCCTATTCCAGGTACACTGTATAATTTTAGTGCTTGGAACATGTGAAAATAAAATGACTTGAGAAGCTGATTCCTCCATTAGAAACCTGACCAGTGTATGTGTCCGTGAGGGCCAATGTCTTGAGCCACAAAGTTTGGAAATATTTTCCCCAGTAATGTTGGGATGTGATGGATGCAGTCTGTTTTGAAACTGCTTTGTATATGTGATGTTTTACTTTTGCAGAAGGACCTAGTTTTCCTTTATTAGCATATACAGTCCGCCATGCGGTTTGCCCTAAATTGTTATCCTCCAAGTGAAAAAGAGGAACCTGCCCAGCTGCTTTTCTTGAATAATTTATTGGATGGATTTCATAAGTCTTTATTGAATCAAACTTCTTCTGGAATGTGTTGAGAAAGGGCCCAATCTCTACTCTGTGTGATTTTATGGTTTGGATTTTCTGGCCTGTGCTTGGGGAATGGCTTATGTAACGTATGTAGCACAATCTTGCAGAATCACAAAAAATGATCCATAGTAAAGTGCTTGCATCTGCTGATTAGTCATATTGCTACAGTCACAAGAAAAACTAATGGCACTATTTGCAATTTCCTGGTTTTCTGCATAAATTGGTCATGAAATGTAATCTGATCTCCATCAAAGTCACAAATATCAACAAACACAATATTTCTAAGCTGATAAAACACAAACAGTCATGATCTTTCATATCTTTACTAAACATACAATGTGATGGTGGAAAAAGTAATGGCAACACAAAGCTTCTCATGTCACCAAGCGTCACCCGGAGTATGGTGTTAGCAAACCTGGAGTCCAATCAATGAAACAAGAATAGTGGTGTGTTTTAGATCTGCCTCGACTAATAAAAACCCTCAAACAGCATCATTGTGCTGTTCACAAGCAGCATCAGCTGATGTGAGCCATGCCTCACAAACAAGAGATCTCAGAAGACCTTCGATTAAGAGTTGTTGATTTGCATGTAGCTGGAAAGGCTTACAGCCCAACATTATATATTGTCAGTTTAAATAGGTTACAATTTAAATCTTTGCTCATGTGCAGCTGTCTTTATTGATTTTTAAATGTTCAGAAATATGTTCCCGTCACTCTTTTGCATGTGATTACTGATGTTAATGTGGTCAAAGTCATCAGTGAAATTCATGCCAGTTGATTTTCTGATAGTCTATGCTATACATGCATATACTGTATATATAAATAAAAAAAGAACGAATAGGTGAATAGTCACACTGAACAGCCAACTGACAAAATCCTTCATCAGGTCCACCCTGAGGTCTCATCGTTTCAGCGAATGGCTGCACTGTTTAGTTCCATGTTACTGACATGAAACACTGTGCTTTTTCTTGCACCATCGTCTGATTACAACATGAAATGAAAAAATGGGGTTGTTTATGCTCTTACCAAAAATTCCAGAATATGACAAATGTATGCTTATTTTTTAAATTTCCAGTTTTAAATAAAATTACATTTTGTCATAACTAAGAATTTATTTATAAGGCTGGAAATTTTTCACAAGATCAGAATGTTGTTTGGGAGGTTTCCAGGAACCTGTATTCAGAGGCTGCATTTTTACATTTCTAAACTCTTTGAGCATTTGTTTAAAAATATGTTGCGTAAACAAGGTTCAACGAAGCTATTTACTCTTGCTAATCAGCCCAAGATTATATGTGACAGCTGTTTATATGGACTAAAGTGATGGCTGAAAGCCACATGTTAACTTAGTATTACATTGTCTGAATACACTCGCTTCATTCACTCAAGTTGAGACTGGCTCTTCCAGCAGCTGGAAATGTTGATTCATGTTGTAGAACCCAGATTTTGAAGTGCTGCCATGTGTTGTGGTTGGTTTTCTAATTTATTAGTTATTCAAGTCAAGTTGAATCTGTATTGTGTTATCAGCAATAACATAAACACTTTGTCGTGTGGTGATAAGCACCATCTGTGACATCTGCAACACAACCCTGTACATCAGATAGCGTTTTCATAGGTAAGTCATGAAACCGATATTTAAAAATCACACCTGTGACATATGCAATGGACATATACTATTGTCCAGCACAAGACTGGGAGTGGAATATTATTGAAAGGTGAGCATTAACTGCATGTTCGGTCCGTAGGTGACAGCACAGTGTGTAGCTGTAGAGAATATGAAGTCGTTACGCTGCATTTAATTTTTGGTAAATGCGCCTTCTTGGGAGCAGCACGCTCATTATTCTTCATAGAGATAAACAGTACATACATCTCTAAATAAATTGTAAAAAACGATCCTATACAGCTACATGCCTGTAAAGCACTGTAGCAGATGCTTCAACTACGTCCAAACGTCCACTTTAGGGTTCAGTTTGAGCACAAAAAGGACAGAAATCAATGCAGCAGTGTTTGTGTTACCTGCTGACAGCTGCTAGCTAGTGTTAACTCCCAAACTGAGAGCTGAACAGAGCTGAGGTTATCCATTTTGGATTACCACGGTCAATAAAGTGGGATCGAAATGATTTAAACAACTTTTTAGTCAAACAAAACAAGAATGTATGCAGGTATATACAGCACATATCTCCTAAAATGGCACCCCCCCATCCCAACATT